GTTAACTTCTATCAGTTGCAGAAAAAGCGATTTAAATAATAATTAAGCAATTAACAAAAAGTAACTGCTGTAGACTATATTATAATGTTAATGTATTACTTCTAGTTTTATATTAAACCAGTAAAATATAAATTATTAGTTACGTTTTAATAGTTCAAATGCAACTTTTCTTGCTGACTGAGCAGTGATCATCTCTGCGGGGAGATATTTGATTGTTCAATGTCGTATAAATACAAGAGTTTAATACGGCCTTGTGGTTTTTTCAATGATCATCTAATGCCTGCCATACACGGTACGGTCTACTAGAACGAAATGTGTGTGGGAATAGACCTGTGCAGTTTTTTGAACCGGCGCAGGCGACTTCCAAAAACCGCGTATGGCCGGCATCAAACTATTCTCACTGTCTTTTTTTGTGGATGAGAGTTTTCTGTCATTTTAACTGATAACGTACATCGGATACATGACTGTTTGTACAAACCGACGTGAGGCGAGTGTACACATTACGTTAGTTAGGTAATGGACCGAGGAGAGAGAATAAATAGAATGTTTTTAGAATGTTCTTAAATGAGGGAATTTTTACAATTAATGTTTCAGTAATGAAAGTAAATGATAATATAAAATTTACGTAAATCGTTCTCAGAGTCATGGTTTTGAAATTACGTGTCTACAAAATATGAAAAGCGTCATGTGTGATCTAAAAGATAGATTTAAATTTTATAATGCACCTGACCATTAAATAATTTTTAAAAGGTAACTTTTGTTATTTTGATAGCATTTTTCAGTAATCTATTACCTACATGTCGTATTAAATCTGGTAAAGGTAAACTGGAACCCTTTCGGTGAAGCCACCAAGGTCAGTATTTGCCAGTCAAGAGCTTGCATCAGCTGATCATACAATAATAATTTATAATATTTGTGTGTCCTGTTTTTGTTAAATATTATAATATTTGTCACAGCTCACTTTCTTGTGGTATTGCTTATTACTTACAAGGTCTGATAAGAAAAATCATTGAATTAGAATTTATTATTGGATTAAAATCATGTCCTTATATTATATTTCCATTTTTTATAGCTTTTTTAATGTGACGTGTTTTTCATAAGAGGAGATTAATAATTTTCAGATAATATTATACAAAACTTGAAAAAGCTGAACAATTATTAGCTGAATGATATGTTAGCTCATACTATTTCTAATTATCTTTAAATATATTTTTTATCAGTAAAGACTTGGGCACCGTAGTCCTTGATAAGTAACTATTACATGTTTTGTATTGGATTATAATTTTCTCTTAAGAATTCCTTTGTTTTAAATTTAGATTCCAAATGAAGAAATACCTACATGTTTTCAATAAGTATTTAAAGTCTTCTGAAGCTGTTTCGTCTTCTGCATTGTAACATTTTTCGATATTTATTAGAGCATTATAAAACAAACTTCTGTAGGAGTGATATATTCTAAAGTTGGTTAGTTTCATGCTTGCCTAAAATTAATATTGATTTTTTTCGGGATCACCATTTTTAATAAATTTATTTCTAATTTTTCTATTAATATACATATTGACTTCTACTGTTCACATTCTGTTCTCAAATGTTTTTAAACTATGAAAAAGATTTTTTTCCGCTTAACTGTTGCTGTTGGCCCTGTTAGCTATCAGAAAGTAATTTTGCTAGATTTATGAAAATAGTGAACATATGTATAAATTTAATAAATATCATATTCAATTCTATTAAATTTAATTTAATAACTTTTAATGATTAAAGTGATAACGAGCCGTTAGTGGAGCCTTTTATAATATGATGGAAGGGAAACCAAACTTAATAATATTAAAAGCATGCTCTAATAGGAGCAAATGTAGCGAGGAGATCAGCGCGAGGGTGTCGGAGGAGCAGGGTGCGAGGGTGCGAGGGTGCGAGGGTGCGAGGGTGACAGGGTGAGAGGGTGAGAGGGTGCAGGGTTTGGATATGGTCATTGTTTGATTAAAACTTAATAGCACAGAAAATGTTAATAGTTTATTGTGCTCGCCTCGTTAAAGTTGAACCTTTGAACACTGAACGATCACTGACGAGGATCTCTTGATGAAAAACATTTGTTGTAAAGAAAACTATTACTTGATACACAAATATTATATGCAAGAAGACTATTACTGTGTTAAATAAGGTTTATTTCATACATTCATAATAATATATATTTTAAATTTATTTTAAATTTTAAATAAAGAGTCTTGGTAACTTTTGTTAACATACAAAAATTATAAAAAAATAATATATTTATTAATTTTCATTACAAACTTGGAAAATTTCTGATTTGGAAAAACGGTCAGGTGACGGAATAAATTATAATAAAACAGTTCACAATAAATTCACAGATATTTTTATGACACAAAGTGATTTTATAAATAACTGATCATATTGGGGTGGAAAATGAATAGTAGATTAGTATTGAGAAAAAAACAATATAAAGTATTAATTTGTTGAGCAATTGATAGCTAAATGCCTTTGGTTTACAGAAATTTAATTCAGTGTACATTGTAACATATAAACAAAACAACACAATACATTGATGATATACTTGTACATCACGGTGAACAAAATAAGTAGTTTAAGATTTTGTTTTACGAGTTACTAGCTTGTACCAGAACATACATGTAAACACACAGCCGGTTAATCTCTTCACATCTCCATTTTAAATTTACTATCTGTTATTCAATTGTGTTAACTTTTAAGCGGATAGTGACGTCACACACCAGGTATATCATATCATAAACATACATCGTTAACACATATAATATCATATCATAATGTTATCATACTCGGTGTCATTGTTTAATATGTCGACAACGTAACAGAGACATTAATAATAATTAATTGATGTCATCATACCGTTATTTAATAATTAAATTATTATTAATTTTAGAATAATTCTATTGAAAAATATATACGTAAGGTTCCATAGGTAATCATACATTCATATTAAAGCCTTTTTCCTCTCAACAACAGAGCTTGGAGTACTGTTTGTCTGTGTGTAATTCTTTTTGTATATGTCGTGTGTTCATAGTTGTTATCTGAGAGCGTGTCGTTATAAAGTTGTACTAGCTGGAGGCACGTCCGCGCGTGACCGACTCTCACACTCATCTGACACTACAAAAACACGTGGCTGGCTTTATTGAAAGGGGCGTCACCATCACACACGTCCACCAATCAACATCCAGCATCATCATCCGTCTCACTCTGTTATATAGAGCGTCTCCTTCTAACGTACAGTCGACTGTTCATATCTGGAAGTTGTTTTTTTGTTTTGTTTGCACAAAGTTGGAGCGAATATTGTATTGAGAATGATTAAGTTAGTTTTATTTAAATAAAGTGTTTGATGTTGTAGTTATAGAAGTAGTTTGTAGTTTAAAAACACACAGATAAGAATTTGTTATTGTTACCCGACTCTGAGTAATGTACAGTTATACTGAACGCTGGCAGAGATATAGATTAGGGGATGATATTGATATTTTATTATTTGTATTATATAAAATTATAAAATATTCAATGCTATTTAATTGTAACTAGTTTTTTAATAACAAAGTTTAACCATTATGGTCTAACTTTAAATGACACGTCGCAAATAAAGCTCAATATAATTTTTACTTTTTTGTTAATTAGGACGCTAAATTAAAAAATATAAAAATATATAACTTTCTTTGACAATGTTCTTAAGAGTGAAGAATAAGAGAGATTTAGTTTCTCATCAACCCGAGAGAATGTTGTTCAGAACTCTATCAAAGATTGTATAAACTTATAGACAGATTCAAAAGTTCATTATATAAAAAAGACAAAAGCAACTCTACCAAAACTTAACAATACATATTATATTGTTATTTGTGTGTGTAATGACTATAATATAATTTAAATATATTTTCATATGAGTGTAAGTCGCGTCATTATAATTTGTATAAACGTTTCATTCAGCTCCGGTCGTCACAATAGAAGCCTGTTTGATTGTTATTATTATATTCGGGGGATGTTTTAAAACGAACCGCCATTAAGGATTATAAGGGAATTAGAAATGACTCCGGACCGGCGAGGCAGTAGAGGGGGCTGGGTTATAATATAATAATAAAAAACTCTATTAATAAAATTATAATTAGTATGAATATTTAAATACATTACTTTGAGTTATCAGGAAATGAGCTCTACGAAGGAGAGCAGCTTCTGTTTGAATAATGATTAACTATCAGTATTAGATCTCTACACCGGTACTCTCGTCCGCTCTACATGATAGAGTCTCGTGTATGTAACGGATATAAACTTGGATCCCTATTAGCTATAGCACCTCATAGAGACCATTAAGTATCAATTGTCGGGTCCCGGTCGACCCCGCCAGACGACTAATATCCGGGGTGTTTTATTTCCATCGAGTGTCAATTAATATAATATTTGTCACATAAATTATAACGTCCATTCTTCCGCTATTTAGAGATACTAAAATGGTACGCTCTATTCAGTTCCGCTCATATTTTTACACACAATAGTTGTTACCGGGACTTCCGGGGGGCGGGGGGGGCGGGGCGGGCGGCCGGGCGGGCGGGGGGACACCGCAAAAACTGCACCCGACTTAATTATAAAGAGACAAGAAGCGCCATTAAATAGCGATTCGTTAAATCTACGCTCTCCTGTTAACACTCGCCGTTCGTCCGTCTCTGTCCGTCCGGTGTGTGTGTGAGCGGGACGGCGACAGGTGGTGCGGCGCGAGTCGAAGGGGCGGCGACTCGATGTAAGGTTTAGATTGACTGGGCGGACTCTGTGGAAGGTTTAGTGTCGGCGGCCGGCGGCCCCTCACTGGCGCGGCGGACCCCGGCGAGGCTCCACGCCTGCTTCACTCGTCTCTCACACGGACGGACGCGCGCTCACGTCACACATATATACATAACGAACTGTGACTCTATGTTGAACATGTGCGGTTGTTAGACTCCGCTGTAAGTGACTCTACCGGTATAGTGTTGTGGACTTGTATCATGTCTGAGTTGCGTGGCTCGCCGCCCCTGTCTCGGGCCCTGGAGGGCGGGTTCGGTGCTCCGCTGGCCGCGCTCAGCTCGCTGGCCGAGGCTCCTCCGCCGGCTCCCAACCCGCACGGCATCGACCACATCCTGTCCCGGCCGGCGGTGGGCTCCAACGTCGGTAACCTCCTCACTCCGCGCCTCTCCCTGGCGGCGGCGGCGGCCGGCATGGCGCACTACCTCCAACACAAGCCGCTCTACTGGCCGGGCTTCCAGGGGCTCGTCTCCAACCCCATGGCCTGGAGAGAGCGACTACAGTCCAGTTAGTATTAACTTTGTTCATACTCTACATAACTCTGTTTCTCACTTATAAAAGACATCAACGAACTCCTCACGAGTTTTTTATAACATATTGAAATATTAGAATGTATTTAAAATTATATATTATTTAATTAATAATATCACAAACATGAAGCATAAATATCGTCCTCCGCGTAATGAAAGTTGTTTTGAGAACGTAGCTCTACATATTTAGAATTATTAAAGAATCAAGTTCCGATCAAAGAACGAAACGAAAATCAAAACATATTGTAAAAAAAGCTCTTGATAAGTAATTAATTTCATTGACAGTAGATCTATATTACAGTATAAAGGAACACGTTAGTAATGTGTTCTTGTTAGATCGTCTGCCGGCGGCTCGCGGGTCACACACACTTTACACACATTTATTACACAAACACACACACACAGGAGAATATTAGAACCTTAGATATATACTTAATGTTATGTTAGTGTCACTTGTAAAGAAGAATGTTTAGCACGAGAATATTAGAAGACAAATTATATTTCTAGTAAAATCTTTTTAGCAAATAATTGAAAAATACATTCAGCGGTCATGGAAATAGTTCCAATAGTTACATTTATGACTTTATGTAAAACAGACATTGATAGTTTTATTAATATACATATAAAAGATATGAGATTACAAAATTAATAATTCACACAAGTGGAATTAAAAATTATTCACGAAAAATAATTTAATTGTATAATTTTGTGAATTATTCATAATATTCAATATTAAATTGTCAATAATTTAGTTATTACAATACAATAATTTGTATAATTAATTACTATATGTATTATGTATTTTACGTGTGTTATATATTGATAGGTTCTTATAAAAATAATTTATAAGAAATTACTTATACCTACTATTATGAATTAGAAAAATATTTGACAAACCGCCGGCACGAGATGCCTTAATAAAAACAACGAACAAACTTCAAATATGATTGAAAAAACTTATATATGTGAATTTTTAAAATATCATTAATAAAAAACTTAAAAAATATAACACGGGCAAAAATCTTGTTTTCTTCAAATTTGGCTTAAAGTTTATTTTTGTAATCAAAATTAGGATAACTGTAGCTTCTAGTCCAATGTTGATGATGAGCGAATATTTAAATTATTGAAATTAATTTAAAATTTTGTAATAAACTCTAACTTATAAATGAAGAATAAATAGGGTAAAACCGGGATAGATGCCGCGCTGGGATAGATGCCTCGTTTCTAAAAACTCAACTACCAGAGAACGAAACAGCAAATTCGTTGTTTACATACGCGCCACATGCACCCCCCGCCTCAGGGACGCGCGAGTTGTTGTGCTAGACTGACGTTTCTCGCTTGTATGTCGAATTACATTCGTAGCGGACGCAACGAACGCTTCAAAATTTCAAAGGTAAGTATTCACTATTCCATATCTTTATAAACGGTTAAATGATTACATTTTATTTGAATTGTTTTAATACATTGGTTCTTTGAGAACACATTTAAGAGTCAATCACTGATGTTTGCATTTATTTTATTTATAAAATATTGAGAGGCATCTATCCCTAGTGAAAAGGATAGTTGCCCCGAGTTTACAAGGGATAGTTGACTTTAGGGGCATCTATCCCTCTATACTGCAAGAGCCTTATCGAAGTATTTAAAAGTCATAGTCGTGAATATTTTCGTATTTCCTAATAGTAGAATATTAGAAAACACCAAAAAAATGTATCCAACTTTAATTTCATAATTCGAATGTGATGAGATGAGTGTAGATACAGTGTTTTATTTTTATACTTACTTTGCTTATTAAAGGTGAGCCATGCCAAGGAAATACAAAAGAAAGGAGGGCGTACGAGCTCGAGTAGTTTCTTGGACAACAGAGCAGCTACAATCAGCTTTCCATGAATTGGATAAAAAAGAATTGGGTATCAATGAAATATCCAGACGATTTGGGATTCCATTCAGAACATTGCGAAGGCGTTACGCTATTAAAAACCAAACTAAGCTAACTTTGGGAAAACATCCTGTCCTGGGTTTTGAACACGAAAAAAGGTTGGTAGCGCACATTTTGAAGCTTAGCGACGCGGGATTTCCCCCAGATAGACGAGCTATACGGACGTTAGCATACCAATTTGCCGAAAAGCTACAGATTCAACACAATTTTGATAATGAAAACCAGATGGCCGGGAATGAATGGTTCAAAAGTTTTATTGAGCGAAATCCAGAGTTGTCTATTAGGCAAGCAGAAGGCTTATCTGTCGCCAGGGCTAAAGGTCTTAGCAGAGAAGAAGTGAATAATTTTCATGAACTTCTGACAAAAGTCCTGGCCGATAATGATCTCTTGGATAAGCCTGAAAGGATTTATAATATGGACGTATCAGGAGTTCAGCTCAACAATAAGCCTGGCAAAGTTGTTGCAAAGAAAGGTGCAAAAGTAGTAAATTCAGTTACATCTGCGGAGAAAGGTGAAACAATGACTATCGTAGCCTGTTGCAATGCCATTGGTAATTTTAAGCATTTTATATTACCTACACATGAAGATAATAAATAAATATTACATTGTGATTACGTGTTCTTGTTAATTATTTAAAAAGGCATCTATCCCGCATCACAGGCATCTATCCTCCTAAGTGATTTCATAGTGGGGCATCTATCCATATAGGTAGGCACCTATCCCCAAAAAGTGTGTTTCGCAAGAATTACATTTTTGCAAAACCAGTAATGGTTAGGTAAATAAATACAGTTTCTAAAGCTTTATGAATGATTAAACTAACTATATTACAGGGTCAATCTAAGCAAATATGTTTAGTATTCAAATAATGAAACACTTTCGAAAAGTGGGGCATCTATCCCGGTTTTACCCTACATGAAGTCTGGTTGTTAAATATTAAACTATGTTCAAACGATTCCTTGCTGTATATATAAAGTATATAATATTATAAAGATTCTACTTGAAGTAATAATAATTTCTATATATTATACAGGTTATAATCATGATATTCTAAACTATAATATAGTTAATTATCGCGACTTTTCTTATATACTTTTGTTATTATAGGTCTGTTATTTGACTCTTACCTAATAAGGTGTGATACAGCGAGCACACATTTTAATTATTGAGTTCTATATATAACAAACAAATAATAAATATATATTGTATATTAACATATTAACAGTCCCATTTGTTACTGATAAAGATTCATACAAGTATTTGATCTGAATTATTTTCAAATCGAATGAAATAATAATAATAAGAAAAGACTTCTCATGTATGTTGAGGGAGATCATTATTGTAATGTTATGGTGTGCTCTGTATACTTGATGTGTAACTGACTCCATAACTGGACACACGCCAACTGACACACACACACACACACACACACACACACACGTACAACACTAAGGAAACAAAGATAATATTAATATTACAAGTATATACATAACTTAATGTCCGTCTGTGTGTTATATACATGTTATATAATTGTCAAGGAAAGGAACATAATAATTAAATAATTAGTATCTGAAAATCTGACTTATACAAAATAAGTAAAGTATAAAGTTGTATTGTAGGTATAGAGCGTAAAGGATTGTAATATTAATTGAGCACACCGTATCATATCATATCGTATCATGATAGGACACCAATAGAAGTATTTAATTAATTAATATCTGTGTCCCTATCTTTCATATTACATTATTTTACAGTCGTAATGCGTGTAAGCCTGTAATCTCCCCGTCGATATGAGCGCGTTGTGGAGCCGGCCGTTATCACACTCGTTGTACTTCATACTTAGTTACAGGTGGTCTGTGTGTTTGTTTGTGTAGCGATACACACAGAACAACCTGCTTATTAACTGTATTATCACCGGCACCGACCCGGAGATAGATATTAATATATTATTTCATTTTTATCGGGACATCATTAACTACATACAACATAGCTAAATCTCATTGTTATGTATAAGTACTATAGTATACTTATAGATACTATAGTATCTTCAATGAATATTTCCAAACATAACTATATTATAATATCAACTTAGATTCTTCTCTGGAAATGTTCATATTTCAATGAAAGGGTTATATTTTATTGTTTTAATATATTTCTATATACATATGTATAAGTCAAGCATCGTCTAGTATTACTCCGTAGTCTGAGTGTATATCATCAGTTGTTCTCGGTGCGTGTAATCCGCCGCTTCACGGCTGTACTTCATTTAATTACATTTATTATCACAGTACTGATAACAGCTCACTGATAACAACAAGCGATCCTCGCGCGTCCTAACACTTATATCAGCTCGTCAAAGCTTCATATTAAAAGTTATATTGCTTTTATTAAATGTATCATTGTGTATGAACAGCGGGTTTGTTTGTGTGACGAATTGTTTCTTGTATTGGATCAGACGATTAATTAATAATATTATAATGACTGGTTTATATGTAGAAATGATATTTAGAAAAACAAATGAAGTTTGTCTTTGTTCAACTCTTAGTATTCATTGAGAGAAAAAGATACATGTATCTAGGTAGTATTCTTTTAAGAAAGTGTTGCAAGTTTTAATTATTTTTCAAAAATCTTGTTTTCTTCAAATTTGGCTTAAAGTTTATTTGTGTAATCAAAATTAGGATAACTGTAGCTTCTAGTCCAATGTTGGTGATGATGGAATGAAGTGATTCATCCATAATGAAACACATCAGATACACCAGGGTCGAAGAAAACTCACATGATGATAGGAAAACAAATATTTAAATGATTTTACGACTTGTTGTAATATTGAACACTTCATAGTTTTTCAAGTTGCAAATCATTTTTTACTTTTGATATTTTATAATTAATAAAACCTTTATATTAGTAATATTAATTAACTTGGTTATCGTAATATCCTCGCCAGTATAACAGTCGGCCGATACAAGCGGACCGCTCACAAGGACGTCACAGCTTTATTAAAATCACAAAAACTGAACACTTCATGAACACTTACATAGGAATAA